AAATGAGCGCCCGATTTTGTTCGTTCGGTTTCAGAAACAGCGGGCACGTGCAGGCAGTCTTGTAAAATGAGCCAACGGTTTTGCCATGGAGCGTGTGTTTGGTTCGGCGTGTTCTTTCGTTCGGCGCATTGCCAGGCTAACGAGGCAAGTTCAGTAGTTTACTTATTTTTTATGTGCTGTTTACTGGTGTAGCATTTCAGAGCTCATCTATGGTTCACAGAATGTGTTGAGAGCCGCTCCTGTGACTGCCGACTGCTTTCGCTGGCGCACGGTCAGCGTGCCTTCGCCTCTGGTGACGGTGAACACGACACGTTAAGCAACCAAACGCTGCACTCTGCGGCTGCCAAAGCTGTATTTTCAAAGCTACTGCCTAGCTGCAGTGCCTTTCGACGATTTGGCAACGTCAGTTTTTGAACTCTTATGCTATTGTGCTAGTCAACAATTGTCTCACAATTGCCTCTGCGAAGTTTCTTGTAATTGTTGCAAGTACGTCATTTGGCTAATAAAATAACTTTGCTTTCAAAATCTTTGTTTTTTCTGCTTCTTTTTCTCTCACGCATGCAATTAGCGATACAAAATTGAGGCACAATAAAATTACGTATTATTAAAGGCATGTAAAAGGTCAGCAGTTAAGAAAATTTTCAATTCCACGCCATGTAGGGCAAATGCCCGACGTCACTACCACTTCCGGTTCTGACGTGATGTCCTATTTCTTTATTTTTTGTTTGCTGTCAGTTGTACCCTCGTCACGTAGATGGCGACGGTGGCAACGAGCCGCGGACTACAGCATCCTTAGGCTTTTATGGAAGTTAATGGGTGATTTTGTGACCAATAAGTTTGATTTCTGAAAGTTTCGTAAAGTTTTAGTGGCTCTGATTTTGCGTGCTTTCGTGACCAAAAAAGGTAAGCCTCTGGAATCCTTGTGTTTCTCGGTTTTGGAAAGTTTTGTCTCAATTCACAAAATTTTAGTTTGGGTGCGCTTGAACTCTAAATGGTCGATATTAATAAATTTCATTTTGGGTGCTTTTTTAACCACTAGGTAGCCTCTGGAATAATTGTATTCAATGATTTCTGAATGTTTTGCAAAATTTTAGTAAATATAACTGTGGGTGCTTTTGCGACCAAAAAGGTAAGCCTATGAATTTCTATGAATTCTATGAATGGAAGTTACGCTACCAGTTTACACAAACCTTGCTTAACGTTTACATTAGAGTTTCCCCGAGCTGAAGCTTCCCCTGATGCGTTGGCTTTCGCGCAATGTATATCAAAAAAGTAGCCGAAATATTTGAGGCCTTCATCACCTCTGAAACGGCTAGATTTTTGTCTGACGTCACACTGCGCAATGAAGGATATATTGTACGTTTATATTGGAGTCCTCCGAGCTGGAGCTTCCCCTGATTCGTTAGTTTTCCCGCAATGCATGTAAAAAAAAAACAGCCGAAAAAGATGAGGCCGTTATCACACCTGATAAGGCTATACTTTTCTCTGGCATCACAACGTGCAAGGAAGGTTAATACTGTACGTTTATATCAGAGTCTCCCGAGCTGAAGTTTCCCCAGATGTGCTGGCTTTTCCGCAATGCATGTCAAAAAGTAGCCGAAAAAGATGAGGCTGTTATCACCCCTGATAAGGCTCAAATTTTGTCTGACATCGCACCGTGCAACGAAGGATGTAACGTACGTTTACATTAGAGTATATTAGAGTTTATATTAGAGTATTAGAGTTTATATTAGAGTACGTTTATATTGGAGTATTAGAGTATATTGGAGTATTAGAGTATATTGGAGTATGAGAGTAGTTTATATTAGAGTATTAGAGTTGGGAAAGCCAACGCATAGCTCGGGATGCTCCGATATAAACGCATAGTACAACCTTCGTTGCAAGTTGTGACGTCAGACAAAACTTGCACCTTATCAGGGCTGATAAGAGCCCCAACTTTTTCGACTGTTTTTCGACATGCGTTGTGGAAAAGCCAGCGCATCAGGGTAAACTTCAGATGGGGATACTCTAATATAAACGTACACTACATCCTTCGTCGCATGGTGTGACGCCAGACAAAAGTTGAGCCTTATCAGGGGTGATAAGGGCCTCAAATTTTTCGGCTGCTTTTCGACATTCATTGCGGGAAAGCCAACGCACCAGGGCGGGCTTCAGCTCAGGAGACTCTAATATAAACGTACACTGCATCCTTCGTTGCAAGTTGTGACGTCAAACAAAACTTGCACCTTATCAGGGGTGATAAGAGCCCCAACTTTTTCGACTGCTTTTCGACATGCGTTGTGGCAAAGCCAGCGCATCAGGGTAAACTTCAGATCGGGAGACTCTAATATAAACGTACACTACATCCTTCGTTGCATGGTGTGACGTCAGACAAAAGTTGAGCCTTATCAGGGTTGATAAGGGCCTCAAGTTTTTCGGCTGCTTTTTGACATTTATTGCGGGAAAGCCAACGCACCAGGGCGGGCTTCAGCTCGGGACACTCTAATATAAACATACACTACATCCTTCGTTGCAAGTTGTGACGTCAGACAAAACTTACACCTTATCAGGGGTCATAAGAGCCCCAACTTTTAGATGCGGAGCATCTAATACTCGAGGCTTGTAGTGCGGCGCCGTCCGCAAGCTTCCTCCTCCTTCTTCCACCATCTGTGCATCCCTTCCTCCTCTACACACCGCGCGCGCTTCACTCCTCCACCATCTGTGCACCCTTCCTCCTCTACACACCGCGTGCGCTTCTCCTCTTGACGAACATTCGCTAGCTGTATAATGTAGCGCGCATGCGCCGTCACGCTTCGAGAACATCGGCAGCTGACGCGCGCGCATGCGCCGTCGCGCTTCGAGAACATCGGCAGCTGACGCGCGCGCATGCGCCGTTGCGCTTCTCCCCCTTCTCGAACATTCGACAGCTGACAGTGCATGCGCCGTCGCGCTGTATATATACTTAAGGTCGGCGCTCGCTCGCTCAGTTGCCGCTCGTCGGTTGGTTTGTACGGCGCGTCGACGTCCAAGGTCGCGGTGAAATGAATTCCAACGAATCCACAAACACAATGATCGACGTCCCTTCAACCAGCGCCGCCCTTTCGCATACGTGTGTACGTGTTCACTCATTTAACACCCCCTCCTACAACCACGTTAACCAATTTAGCCATCGACCCAAGTAAGTCGCAATTTAACACCCCATTTCACAACCACGTTAACCAATTTAGCCATCGACCCAAGTAAGTCACACTTTAACACCCCGTTAACCAATTATATGCTCCGCATCCTCCTCAGTGTTCCCCCGAGGGAAGCTGCGGGCAATTTTTTTCGACTGCTTTTCGACATGCGTTGTGGGAAAGCCAGCGCATCAGGGCAAACTTCAGATCGGGATACTCTAATATAAACGTGCACTACATCCTTCGTTGCATGGTGTGACGTCAGACAAAAGTTGAGCCTTATCAGGGGTGATAAGGGCCTGAAGTTTTTTGGCTGTTTTCGACATTTATTGCGAGAAAGCCAACGCACCAGGGTGGGCTTCAGCTCGGGAGACTCTAATATAAACGTACACTACATCCTTCGTTGCAAGTTGTGACGTCAGACAAAACTTGCACCTTATCAGGGGTGATAAGAGCCCCAACTTTTTCGACTGCTTTTCGACATGCGTTGTGGGAAAGCCAGCGCATCAGTGTAAACTTCAGATCGGGAGACTCTAATATAAACGTACACTACATCCTTCGTTGCATGGTGTGACGTCAGACAAAAGTTGAGCCTTATCAGGGGTGATAAGGGCCTCAAGTTTTTCGGCTGCTTTTTGACATTTATTGCGGGAAAGCCAGCGCACTAGGGCGGGCTTCAGCTCAGGAGACTCTAATATAAACATACACTACATCCTTCGTTGCAAGTTGTGACGTCAGACAAAACTTGCACCTTATCAGGGGTGATAAGAGCCCCAACTTTTTCGACTGCTTTTCGACATGCGTTTTGGGAAAGCCAACGCACGAGGGCCAGCTTCAGCTCGGAGACTCTAATATAAACATACACTACATCCTTCGTTGCAAGTTGTGACGTCAGACAAAACTTGCACCTTATCAGGGGTGATAAGAGCCCCAACTTTTTCGACTGCTTTTCGACATGCGTTTTGGGAAAGCCAGTGTATCAGGGTAAGCTTTAGCTCGGGAGACTCTAATATAAACGTACACAACATCCTTCGTTGCAAGTTGTGACGTCAGACAAAACTTGCAACTTATCAGGGGCGATAAGGGCCGCAAATTTTTTGACTGCTTTTCGGCATAAATTGTGGGAAAGCCAAAGCATCAGGGGTAGATTCTGCTCGGAAGGCTCCTACGCACCCAGGAGGTCCGTCAATGCACAGTGTGACGTCACACTAATGTGTAGCCGCTATCACAGAGTTTCTTACAATAATTTTCACGCCTATTAATCACATCCAGTCTGCAATTTGTAACCTCGGGACATCTGCTGTAGATTTACCTGAACTGTATTACCGTTTTTCTTACTCGACTAGTAAATATTGTGTGGTGGCTTGATTTACTTACACTACTCTAAAAGGAGATTGTGAGCCGAGCTTTTTGTCTATGGCATAGAAGATGACTCGATGATTATATATGTCTGTCCATCCATCCATCTCTCTGCCACGCAATATAAATCAAACTGAATAAACATATATATAAAACAAAATAAAACTTGCAGGCTGCGTTGAGTTTTAAAGCTACTGGCTCACGCTCGAAAGGCAAGTGCCTTAACCACTGGGCTAAAGTGCGCAACATTGCTATCTTTTAACTTTGTGAATGCGCCATGAAGAAATTTACGTATCAAATAAAAAATTGCAAGGCTGCCCTGAGTTTCGAACCTAGGTCCCCAAGCTCCAAAGGCGAGTGCTTTACCCACTGGGCTAACACCCAGGCTTGAACGACCTGTGTATCTCTCAACCTTATTATTACGCTGAAGATAAATAGACGTATAAAATAAAGGAAAACTTCGAGATTGATCTGAGTTTTGAACCCTCAGTCTCCAACTCCAATGTCGAGTGTCTCAGCCACTGGGCTAAAAAAGCACACTTTAAGACTCTTAGTGAAGATATTTTACCGTGTGGGCCATTTTTCAGCCACAGATTTCTGGTTCAGTAGGGCAGCCCAATGACCGAAGTCCTAGCTTGATTAACCTCCCTGCCTCTCTCCTTCACTTATATATCTCTCTCTCTCCTGCATTAACAAAAGAATAAGAGCACTTAGACGAAATTGTTCTAGTTGAAGAAAAATTCGTCCTGGTCGGAAGCTAGAACGAATTTTTCTTCAACTAGAATACTTTTCGTTCCGAGAAATCCTTGTGGATTTTCTCGTGGATTCATGCTACCAATGTGTGGCTGTCATTTCTCCCTTTCTAAAGCCTTCGCTACCTTGAGGGATTCTGCAGAACTCACTCGCTGTAACAAAGCTCACCGATAATAGCACCCGATTAAGAAAATAGCCCCCTTGGGTAGCTTCATAGCGAACAGTTCCGCGTAAAGATTTTGCAGTGAAGTTTCAAAGGCCCAAGCCATCGCTAAATAGAATGCTTCAAATCAGGGTCATGTGTTACCTGTGTGATGAGTATCCAGAGCTAGGCTCATCAGAAACGTCTTCCTTTTCTGTAACATAATTGCTCGTTGCGTAGCTCGCGCAAACAAACAACCCTACAATGGCACAAGGGTAAAAGAATAACAACAGCCGCAACAAAGATGTCATAATCCTTCAAACATATCTATTTTAAACAGGAGAAAGCGAATAGCTTTAATACAACAGGTCATCAAACAATAACATCGCGACCTCATGTAATGACTTTGATCTTGACACAAATATTCGCATATTTGGTTCTTCATTTTACGAGCACACTTGCCATGAATTTTCCTCATATACACTCTGACATATCATTGCGCTATTTCTTTTATTATAAAACAGTCGCAACGAACACCAACGAACACAGAATCAGCGCTCAATTTAGTTGGCTGCATATCTCCATGTGTTTGTGGAATTTTTGACACAAACAAAGCCTTCATAATTATCGTTAAGATCATCGTGATTGAAACACAACGTGATTCAAGCACAACGTTCACAGTTAGTCAACGTGATTCAGACTATTGCTCTGTTTTAACTTATTTACCTTTGCTGCAAGTAGGATGGCGTTCCGGTATATTCCGTGGTATCACAGCTCACACCATGCCACAAACACGGCTGGGGCGACTAGACTTATCGAATATGACATGATGCGTCTACAGAATCATACCTGTATTACTTCCAACTGCGTGTCAGCCAAAGCCGCATCAAATCATGTGCCTTCGAGGGCTCACAGTATGGGTATCGGTTGACGCTTTGCAAAGAAGTCCACGCAGAAAAGACGCATTCAGACACTTGTTTTACCTGTTTTACGAGTACTGTACAAGCAGCTTCTAACGTGCTCCAGTCCGATTGCATGTGATCTCTACCACTGTCAGCACAGTGTTTCGACACAGTGATTCTTAGTTATCTTTTTCTGAGGCCGGCGATTCCAAATGTGTGCGCTTACGCATTCAGAGAAGGCGCAACAAAGGTATAGAGTGTATCTTAACGTTGCTTGCGAAGCGGCTGTATGACATGGTCCCTCGTTAATCTGGGGACAGGGAAATAGCAGAGCACGACCGACATCGCTGTATAAAAGCAGAGCTCATTGTTAAAACACAGGAAGCCTAAATAATAAAACCAGCACTCTACGACAAGCATGCCACGTGGTTTACCACGAACCACGCTGGAAGAGAAACGTCAGTACGTTTCTTGCTGGGCTTGGTCTTTACCGAAGCATGACTTGGAGTTATGTGCGCTAACGTACACACACTTAGAAGTGAATACAGACTAGATGCAATGTCTTCGCATGAGTGTCCATAGATGTTCTATTCTCTGTTCGATGCGAGAAACGGTTCGCGAGAAGTCCACGTAAACAGGAGTGCAAACGGATGTTCCAAGGCATGGGCCACGGCATGCCACTGAAGTCCACCGGTCCACCAAGTCCAGCGTCCACTTCCAGCAAGCTCATGATGGCCTCCATGGCCGCCTCGTCGTTTTCTTCACTGTTGTCCTGACTTCCGGCCGTCAGCATGTCCCGACCCACGAAGGTGTTCACCAGGTCTAGATCTAGGATGAAGAAGCAGAATGTAAAACTACAGGCAAGATTTCTTACTGAGGTAAATTATGCGCGAGTAAATCCCTATCTTACTTGAGCGAGAAATTGTTGATAAAATTGTTTTCACGTATTTGCTATTGCATATTTCTTGGTATGTTGGAATCTTTCATGACACTTTAAAGGGACCCTGAAACATTTTTTTCAAGCAACCATAAAATGGGTTCACTGAAAGAGTTTATTGCCTCACGAATCCAATGCCACAAAATTGTTAAACACCTGTCTATTACGAGCGAAGTTACAAATAATCGCAGCACGTTGCAATCGCGTTCTCTGTTTTTTCGTCCCGGTGAAATGGCTGAAGGCTAAGCAGGGAGGAATGGCAGGGGCAAAGAAAATACGTCACGCGCGCCTCATTACCTTGAGCACTTTTTCTTTCTTTTTTTTTCTCTTCGAATACGCGGCTTTTTTTGTGTGATATCACGTGCGCACGCGTGGACAAGTCGCAGCCTCCCTTGTCGAGCCCTGTAACGACCGAGCTTGCCATGTTCAAATCTGCCAATGGCTGATAGATGGCTTTCTACGCCCGAATTTCGAGCATCTTTCGTCATTTATCGAGAGAAGAGAAGGCAATTTTGAGCTGCCTTTGATAATTTATTGTGAATTCTAGGCCACGTGCCGCGCTATAATATTTGGCTAGCGCGTTTTCGGAAGGCTCTACTACCGATCGTTGGCGTTTTCGGACCATGTTCAAAAAGTGTTGCAGGGCCCCTTTGACAAACTCGTTGGGTTCCCGGACGTAAGTAACGCGTGGTATAAAACAATAAGAATTGGAAGAAAACTGTCACCTCTGTCTTGGAAGCGAAACAAGTAGCCACCGTGAGGGCTGTAGACAATGATGGTATTACACGTCGTGTAAGGAGTCTTTGTGTGACATGTTATTTTTCAGCCATTACTACAAATAATAATACTTCTAGTGGTTTAGCGTTCCAAAACCACCATATGATTATGTGAGACACCGTAGTGATGGAGTCCAGAAATTTCGACCATATGGGGTTCTTTAACGAGAACCTAAATCTGAGCACATGGGCCTCAAGCATGTTCGCTTCCATCAAAAATGTGGCCGCCACGGCCGGGATTCGATCCCGCGACCTGCGGGTCAGCAGCCGAGTGCCTTAGCCATTAGGCCACCGTGGCGGGTTTGCCTAGCCATTACAGTACGTCTACTCAAGGATTAATTATTCTCGGCATGTGACCATGTTTGCAAGTAATACAACACCGAAGTGGTATGGCGTAATTGGGAAAGCCGCCTAAAGTTTTCTTTCTGGTGTCATGATGCACTCACCGATGCCGAAACTCTAGTCATCGCAGACTGCGCGTGCTAATTTCAGTCGCTTTTTATTATTAATAACTGATCACAACACCGCACCACAAACGGGCTTCATTACGACATAGTGCGAAAACCAGGATTATGCGAACGTCGCACATTTATTGCTGTCTTAAAATATGCTGTCCGAGAAATGGTAAGCACTTGTAGTTTTCAACCTGCTGCTCTCCAAAAATAACAGCCTAATTTGGGTATCCCGGACCGAGAGTTGAGAACACTTCGAATGAATATTCATTCAATGGTGTGCCCTCTTATTTTCTTCTCTACCTGAGACAAAAAGATCGCGCTTGAACAAGCACTGCAGGTGATTGAATAGCTTCAAACATTGGTTTTAGACTTCAGCAGAATGAAACGCCATTGGGCACTTCTAAGCAGCCGTTACTTACTTTCGACTGCAATTCGCCAGTGCATATCATGAATGGGGTGTGCTCAGCAAAAGATCTAAATATGATTGTACTCTCCGCCTACTCCATAACGTATCATTCCAAGCAGTAACTTTCGTGGTCGGTTCAAACTCCTGGACACATCTTTTCACAAAATTGCAAGTTGCCTTGCTGCATTTATTTTACAAACTGTGCCCTGGATTGTTTTGGAGAGTAGTGACGATGAACTGTCACCACGCTCAGCATTCAAAGGCGTTTGAAGCAGTTAAACAGTTCTTCAAGTGGCATTTTGTCCGCTATGGCTCACAACTCTAAAGTAATCATGCAGCATAAGCTTTGAGATTCAAAGTTATTAGTGTTTTCCTATGTCGACACAGCTGACAGGAGAGTTTTTAGATACTGATAGACTAGAAGTTGATTTATAGAAAAGATTTTGGTTTAAGTGCGAAACAGGAAACCGTAACGGTGGCAGGCCTCTGTCCTGAAACAGGGTGGCTTCTGCACAGGTGAAGTATACGGTATGATAGGAGCCTCTATAGTCCGAACAAAAGTGTGAGAAATTTGATCGGAAAAAATTTTTCGATAGCTACAGGGCAGCCTTGTTCACAAGTTCACCGGAACATTTCGAAATGTTTTTGGAAACGACGTAAAAATCCACCATGTCCAATTCGCCGCCTTGTCAAGCAGTCTTGTCAACTCCCATTGACTCACATGGCAGCTACGATCTCTCTGATTGTTTCAAAATGAGGCAATTTCACAGGATTTGATGGCACAGTTTGAAGCATACAGGATAGCATATAGAAAAAAAACCTGCGCAATAAGCAACGATCTGAAAAAAAAGAAACATCAATGCATTATGGACACCTCCCCACAAACACCATTAGTAACTATGACGTTTGGCCACATGTGATGTTTCATTATTCACATAAGTGAAAGTTGGGCCAGGCCATAGAGTTTCATACAATAATATTTAGAGGGGAATCTGGCGCAAGTGTCTACGAGGGCTCCTTCAGCGGCGCTTGTACCCCCATGTGAATTATGGGAAGTACTTTTAGTTTTTAACCTGCTGCTCTCCAAAAATAACAGCCTAATTTGGTTATCCCGGACCGAGAGTTGAGAACACTTCGAATGAATATTCATTCAGTAGTGTGCGCTCTATTTTCTTCTCTACCTGAGAAAAAAAGATCGCGCTTGAACAAGCACTGCAGGTGATTGAATAGCTTCAAACATTGGTTTTAGACTTCAGCAGAATGAAACGTCATTGGGCACTTCTAAGCAGCCGTTACTTACTTTCGACTGCAATTCACCAGTGCATATCATGAATGCGGTGTGCTCAGCAAAAGATCTAAATTTGGTTGTACTATCCGCCTACTCCATAACGTATCATAAGCAGTAAACTTTCGTGGTCGGTTCAAACTCCTGGACACATCTTTTCACAAAATTGCAAGTTGCCTTGCTCCATTTATTTTACAAACTGTGTCCTGGGTTGTTTTTGGAGAGTAGTGAGAATGAACTGTCACCACGCTCAGCATTCAAAGGCGTTTGAAGCAGTTAAAGCTTTCTTCAAGAGGCATTTTGTCCGCTAAGGCTCACAAATTTAAAGTAATCATGTAGCATAAATTTTCAGATTCAAAGTTATTACTGTTTTTCTTTGTCGACACAGCTGGCAGGAGTGTTTTTAGATACTGATAGACTAGAAGTTGACCTATAAAAAAGATTTTGGTTTAAGTGCGAAACGAGAAACCGTAACGGTGGCAGGCCTCTGTCACCAAACCAGATGGCTTCTGCACAGGTGAAGTATACGGTATGATGGGAGCCTGTCTAGTCAGAACAAAGGTGTGAGAAATTTGATGGGAAATGATTTTCGATCTAAAGGGAAGCCTTGTTTATATGTTCACCGGAACATTTTGAAATGTTTTTAGAAACGACGTAAAAATCCGCCATGTCCGGTTCTCCGCCTTGTCAAGCAGTCTTGTCAACTCCCATTGACTCACATAGCAGCTACGATCCCTCTGATTGTTTGAAAATGTGGCAATTTTACAGAATTTGATGGTCCAGTTTGAAGCATACAGAATATCATATAGCAAAAAAAAAGAACTTACGCAATAAGCGACAATCTGAAAAAAAGAAAATGAAACGTCAATGCATTATGGACACATATGAGACTCGCCACAAAGACCAGTAATAACTCTACGACGTTTGGTCACATCTAATGTTTAATTATTCACATAATTTACAATTATTTCACATTTACAAGGCCTGGCAGTTGGGTCAGGCCTTGTAAAGATACATGCTATCTTTGTTCTCAGTGGCAATCGCTTGCATGCAATCAAGGGGAAAAAAGTACTACATGTTAGTCGACAGCATCATACTCTTTACGCTCATTCACAGATTACATATCGACGGAAGTAACTTTTCATTTAGCGGGCAGGGAACTTGCCAGACTCTGCCATGGCCTGATTGGCTGGCGACGCGGACCTGAAAGACGGAGCAGCGTGAGCCGACTGATGTGGTGGCACGGGCGAATCGGACTGCATCTCGCCGTTCCTGTCACCGGGCCCGATGAAGACGGTGCTGGGTGATGGACTACGGAACGCTTTTCTCACTTCCTGAAATCAGACACGATCTTGCGCCCTCGTATAATTATCATACGGCCTTGAAATAATCACTAACTACCACGTTAAAGCTTCAAGTTAGAACAAATAGGATATTCAGTGCGAAAGAGACGGGCAATATTCTGGAAACATTCGGAGTCGAGGTGGTGTAGAGACAAGCGAAATATAAAATACACAAATTGTTTTATTCGGGAAATTATTAATCTGCTGACATCTAGGTATTTTGTTTCCCCCTACCCTCCCCCCTATATGACACCAGTTTGACTTGCAAAATAATTTTTCGAGCATCTATATTCACAGAGACCCAATTTAATGACAAAGCACTCCAGCCGATGTCAAAGTAAACTATTCCATGACCAAGAAAGACGCTGGGGCTCGGATGCGTGGGCAGCTAAGAGAAGGAGGAATAGAAGAAAGATCAGATAAATAGGGTGCCTGGACATAAAGGCTTATTTCTAAATGAAATAGCTGATTCCTTAGCTAAGTCGTTAATTAGCGAACCGATTCTACCACACTGTTCATCATCCGCTTATGTGACTGCTGCTCTACCGAGTCCGCAGACGTACGCTTATGGAAGTCTTTAAAGATACGGCGCTAACAAACTCTACCGAATATCACCATTTATTGTGTCCCTGGCGAATAGACCTTTGCCGAACTCGTAAACAAGAAGTAGCTATCACAAGGCTGCGTTGCCGGGTACCGAATCTAAATTTCTATAAACACAGGTCTGCTCAGGCACCTTCGCCACTGTGCAAGTTCTGTGATGAACTGGAAGCAATAGATCATTTTTTTACATGCAGGTGGTTTAAATAATTACGAAAAACCCTTTAAAAAATACCTTTACGTGGTTTTGGTATGGACTTATTTGTGCCTGTCACTTTGTCTTTTGGAGCTTCTATTTGTGGGTTCTCTAATGCGACAGTATGTGCGGCCGTCCGGAACTATATTGATGAAACTAATAGGTTGACTAATTAATTTGTTTCATTATCCCAACATGTATACAAAATCATATACGTATAAAATCAGATTATTGCTGTATTTTAAAAAGAAATTTGTTTTTTTATTTAGATAATTGTATGCACGTGATCAAGCACCACACTTTCCCAGGTTATCGGTAATCTTTCTATTATATCTCCATTATTCTAAATTTAACAACAATTTTTAAAACCACTCGATTCTTGGCCAATACCCCATAGTGGGTATGCGCCACGATCAATAGGTGAAGAATAACAACAACTCTACAGAATATCGCCATTTATTATATCCCTGGCGAAGAGACTTTTGCCGCACTCGAAAACAAGAAGTAGATATCACAAGTCTGCGTTGCCTGGTACCAAATCTAAATTTCTATACACACAGGTCTGCTCAGGCACCTTCGCCACTGTGTGCATTCTGTGATGAACTTGAAACAATAGACCGTTTCTTTTTGACCTGCAGGCGGTTTAACACATTACGAAAAACCCTATTAAAAATACCTTTACGTCGTATTGGTATGGACTTATCTCTGCCTGTCATTTTGCCTTTTGGAGCTTCCATTTCTGGTTTCTCTAATGCGACAGTATGCGCGGCCGTCCGGGACTATATTGATGAAACCAATAGGTTGACTAATTAACCAGTTTCATTATTCTAACAGGTCAACATAATTATATACGTATAAAATAAGATTATTGCTCGATTCTAAGAATAAATTCGTTTGTGTAAATATTTGTATAAATTACATTAAGCGTCACACTTTCCTAGGCTATCGGTAATCTTTCTGTTAAACCTCCATCATTCCAAATCTGAACAGTAAATTTTGAAACCACTCGACTCTTGGCCAATTCCCCACAGTGGTTATGCGCCACTAACAACAGGAGAAAAACAACAACAACAACAACAACAACAACAACAACAACAACAACAACAACAACAACAACAACAACAACAACAACAACAACAACAACAACTGGCCCAGCGAACGGGCGTTGTCTCCGAGTCTCATCTTTCACAATGGCGCAGTCCGACAAGTGAACGCTCTGCAGAAAGCCACCGGTACGTGTCTTCGTGGTTTGTCGGCAGCGCGGGCTTCTCCATCGAGGAACGCCATTCACGCTTCCTTGGCAATGTGGTCCCGCCCGCCGCTTCAGCTACCCTTCAGACAACCTGTGCACGGCGTCCAGGCCTCCCCTGTGGTTCTAGGTCATGACCTGATGGACACCCTGCCACTGCTTCACGGCAGGCATCCGCAACGGCTTCTGTTCTTTGAAAATGCCGCTCACGCTTCCCATGGCCTACATTCCCATTGAAATATTCTTCCAACATACGAGCCGCCACTGAACGCCGTCCAGGCTTCCCTGATCGTCAATCTCGCTGGCATGAGTGCTGCAACCGCTACTTACACGAAGACCGCGATCACTGACTCTTCGGGCTTCACACCCGACACCGCCGCGGACCTGCGGCGTACCATCGCGTTACTCCGCGTCGAGACTAACGAACTGACAACGTCCATCTGCGAGCGAGCTCCTACAATGTTGCCAGCGAGCTCCTACAATGTTGCGAGCGAGCTCCTAAAATGGATGTAGCTGCTTTGCACGACCTTGAGGCAAGCCTACCGGAGCAACGCAGGGAGCTTCGGTCTTCTCTCATCGAGCTCTCACACCAGCTCGGCTGCTTCGCGTCGGTGATCTCTGCGTTGCCACCTGCCACCCCAAAATCACCGGCCGTCTGCGAACTACTGGAATTCAACGGGTGCCAGAACAACGCCGACAGCTGGGTGGCAGCCATGAACGCACTAGCAGTGCGTTAGGCTTGGATGAAGCCTAAGAAATGGTCCGTGGCTGGAGACCATCTTTGGGAAGGTGTAGCGGCGTGGCACTGGTATGAGGGCTTGAAGCAGCAGTCATGGGGAGTGAAGCTCCAAGCTCATAGCTGCTTTTGGTCTGATTCCTTGTGCTTCCTGCCCGTGCATCTCGACCTCTGAGGATGGAGCCCAGGAAAAGTGTAATCTGAAACCAATTAGCCTGTCTTTCTGGATTAGTGCTGATCCGAAGGATTCAACTCGGACAACTACCACCCTGCCATTTCTCCGTGACCAAAGTCAAGGGAACCATCACAACAACATAACTGTGCCTTCCACAGATTTTTCTACTGCCGAGGAGCAGTGGCCCGATGGTGCACCTGTGTCCGGTGAGTCCCTCCCGGCTAGCTTTGCGAAACGCCCTGCGACAGGCCCAGATGAACGCCATCCGGTGGACTTAGAGTCGTCAGGCCATCCGGTAGACGCTGAGGCGCCAGCCTCCATCTTACTAGACGTTCTACCACGTCATCAAGCGCACGTGGCTATGGATTCTGCAGAGTTCCTCCCTGACAAGATGGAGACAGATCCACAGGCCGGTCGCCGCAGTGTTTCCAACTTCCTAAGAGAGCACTCTCTAAACGACACCAAGCTATTTCAGGAGTCTGGCATCGATTCGTTCAAAGACTTTCGCAGGCAGCACGAAACTCCTATTATAACGACTTTGGATGAAGATTTCGTGTGTCCATGCAGAGCTGCTTCAATAACGTCAGGAATCCCAAAAATTGCATGACTGAAGAAGCAGAGGTCGCGTCGCCGAACAGCGAGGGGACTTGACCCGTTCACGCAGTCACCCACTAGGAAAGTGAAACAACCTATGACCTTCTGCGAGACGCACAGACGACCACATCTGGTGCTGCAAGTACCGTTAGCGGATCCACCATTTCATGCCCTGCTATCGAAAGAGTGGCTGGAGAAAGGCCAGCGCTTTGGTAAAAAAATCGGCGACTTTGCCGAAACAGTCAAGGCCACCCACCAGAACTATTGCTGAGAAAATGTCACACCAAGCCGCATCACTGCAGGGAACTCCGACTACCACAACACTGCTCAATGCGTACCCCAGACTTGCAATCGACAAAAACACCAACCGAGCTTCGACAGCAACACAGGGAACGACCACAGTGACACAGCCAGTGTCGGCCATCAGACCCGCCTTCAACAAATTACCAGGTGAAGTTCCCGAGGCCGAGTCCGGCCACTCCGAAGCAGCCAACCCCGTCCACCAGAAAAACTGTAAGCAGCTACGCGCGCTTCACATGTCGCGGCCGAGTGTCATGACCAAGAAAGACGCTGGGGCTCGGGCTCATGGGCAGCTAAGAGAAGGAAGAAGAGAAGAAAGATCATATAAAGAACGACCGGCCCAGCGAACAGGCGTTGTCTCCGAGTCTCATGTTTTACAACTACTAGATTAACCCACATAGTGGCTCCGCTTCTTCAGCTGCTCCTTTCCGCAATATTATTGCCATGTTGTACTTGGAAACAATACATGTAAAAACAGGACAAGAAAAAACGCATTGTAGCAAGCGTACTTTGCAATACTTGTGCCGTTTGTTCTCTCACGTTTGGCAGATTCAAAGCTGTTGCCATTGACCTGTTCACCTCTCTAAAGTTAAGACTTCTTTATGCCTCTTTGCACTCTTTTACTAAACGAGGAAAGTTCACATCTGGAGACGTATGTTACATTTCTATGAACGCGTACATTCTTTACTTTTTTCTTCATCGTATGTGTCATATATCTGGAATTATTATCTCTCTAGAGAAAGATCATTCGGCGTGTTGAAAAGAATTAATTAATGAAGTACATGCTCTAAATAAGTTCTGAAGTCTAATTCGACTGCTTTTCACGATGGACAATACGTTCACACTAACGTTTTGCAAGAAAGTGAAGAAGGGAATATCGCTTTCTGTGTTCAGCAAGATACCTGTTAAAATGCGCCTTATGTTTTTTAAAGACGGCTTTAAAACTGAAACACGCCTATTAATGTATGAAGGATTGAGACATGAAGAACGTATCAGTGATCACTCTTTTCTTCTTCTTCTTCTTCTTCTTCTTCTTCTTCTTCTTCTTCTTCTTCTTCTTCTTCTTCTTCTCTTTTCTTCTTCTTCTTCTTCTTCTTTTCTTCTTCTTCTTTTCTTCTTCTTCTTCTTCTTCTTCTTTTCTTCTTCTTCTTCTTCTTCTTCTTCTTTTTTCTTCTTCTTCTTCTTTTCTTCTTCTTCTTCTTCTTCTTCTTCTTCTCTTCTTCTTCTTTTTTCTTCTTCTTCTTCTTGTCTCTTCTTCTTCTTTTCTTCTTATTATTCTCTTCTTCTCTTCTTCTTCTTTTCTTCTTCTTCTTCTTCTTCTTCTTCTTCTTATTTTTTCTCAGGCTCTTACCCAATACAGGAGATTGGCCAAGTGTTAGGTATTACTGTACGAAACTGTATGGGCCAGGCCTTGTAAAGTTACAGGCTATCTTTGTTCTCATTGGCTAGCGTTTGCATGCAATAAAGGAAACAAAGTACTACGTGTTAGTCGACAGCGTCATACTTTTTACGCTCCTTCACAGACTACCCACCGAAGGAGCTAGAAGAAGAAGGAGGAAGAAAGTTTAAGCGGAAAGACAGGGAGGTTAGCCAGTTCTTAGACCGGCTGGCTACCCTGTGCTGGGGAAAGGGGTGAGGAGCTAACTTTTTATCTAGCGGGCAGGGCACTTACCCGACTCAGCCACAACCTGATTGGCTGGCGACGCGGACGTGAAAGACGGAGCAGCGTGAGCCGACTTGAGGTGGTGGCTCGGATGAATCGGGCTGCATCTGGCCGTTCCGGGCAGCGGGACCGACGAAGACGGGTCTGGGCGACAGACTACGGAACGCTTTCCTCACTTCCTGAAACCAGACACGACCGTGCGCCCTCGTATAATTATCATACGGCCTTGAAATAATCACTAATCACCACGTTAAAGCTTCAATTTAGAACAAATCGGATATTCAGTGCGCAAGAGACGGGCAATATTCCGGCAACATTCGGAGTCAAGGTGGTGTAGAAACAAGCGAAATAAATATATACAAGATTCGGGAAATAAAAAATCTGACATATAGATATTTTGCTTCCCCCTCCACCCTATACGTTACCAGTTTGACCTGCAAAATAGTTTTTTGAGCTCCAATATTCATAGAGACCCAATTCAATGACAAAGCACTCCAGCCAATGTCAAAGTAAACTATGTCATGACCAAGAAAGACGCAGGGGCTCGGGCGCGTGGGCAGCTAAGAGAAGGAAGAAGAGCGGAAAGATCAGATAAAGAACGACCGGCCCAGCGAACGGGCGTTGTCTCCGAGTTTCATCTTTTACAACTACTAGATGAACGCACATGGTGGTTACGCTTCTTCAGCTGCTCTTTTCCGCAATATTATTGCCATGTTGTACTTGGAAATAATACATGTAAAAACAGGACAAGAAAAAAAAACGCATTGTAGCAAGCGTAGTTTGCAATACTTGTGCTGTTTGTTCTCTCACGTTTGGCAAACTAGATTCAAAGCTGTTCCCATTGACCTGTTCACCTCTCTAAAGCTAAGACTTCTTTACGCATCTTTACATTCTTTTACTTAAACAATAGTTACTTTCCTGAGAAGACGAGGAAAGTTCACTTCAGGAGACGTACGTTACGTTTCTATGAACACGTACATTCTTTATTCTTTTTTTCATCGTATGTGTGAGATATCTGGGATTATTAGCTGTCTAGAGAAAGATCATTCAGCGTGTTGAAAAGAATGAGTTAATAAAGTATAAGCTCTAAATAAGTACTGAAGTCTGATTCAACTGCTTTTCACGATGGACAATATGTTCACACTTTAACGTTTTGGCAGAAAGTGAAAAAGGGAATATCGCTTTCTGTGTTCTGCAAGACACCTGTTAAAATGCGCTTTATTTTTTTTAAAGACGGCTTTAAAACTGAAACAAGCCTAAAATGTATGAAGGATTGAGACATGAAGAAAGTATCAGTGGTCACCTCCCCACAATCACACCTCATGTCAACTCACCAGAGACTTGGATGGCTGGTTTGCAGTCGTGCCAAGTAAGGTAGCTTTTATCCACAAGTGTGGCACTCGAAATCTGGTAGGATTTTTACGATCTGCAATAGCGCACAAAATATCACGAACTCCTGGTGGTCGCGGGTGGCCAGCAAGCGGCCCCTGCCACTCCACCTTAGAGTACTCCATCGCGCCTCCGAACGCATTCATCGGCTCATCGGACAAGACAGCCCGCCTGTTTTGACCGTGGGAACACAAACTCTGTATCAGCGATCTCCTGCACCACTGACCTGCTTTCAGCGGTGCAAGAAGCAATATTCTGGTAGTCTAAGCCAAACTTGGCCTCCTAAGAACAACATCCGAGCATCTGCTCTTCAATCGCTACGGGTGCAATGACGTTAAACATTCCTTGTCAGCACTGCTCGACTTTATCGACGTGACGAGGCTGCGAGAGTGCTTGTAATTCTTTTTCCATTTCTTTTTTTCTGTTTCCTTTAGGGGCAAAGCTCCTTACACCATGGGTCGTATGTCTCGTGTCGTCGTAGTCATCATAGTCGTAGTAGCCAGTAGCATTGCATTGCATGTCAATAAAAACGATGTCACAGCATATCTACGGAGTGAATGTTGATAAGTGGGGCGAAGCGTCCATCAGTCCGTCCGCGCTTCAGTGCGTCCAGCCGTCCGTCCGCGCGTCCATCTGTCCATGTTTCCGTCCGTGCGTCCGACCGTCCGTGCGCCCGTCCATCCGTCTGTGGGTCCGTCCGCTTCGCCCCACTCGGCATCATTCTCTTCGTAGATATGCTGTGATTTTTTTTTAATCAACCCTTCCTCATCTCTCTCGATTCTAGTCTTTTACTCCTATTCCTCGAGTCTCCCAGTGCATCACTGCTGAAGTGTCCTCCTTAGTGTTATACAGTTGCGGGATGCACAATCAAGTTTCTTCCTTTTCACAAACAAAAAAATAACTACCCCCCTCCCCTTTGTGACTTTTTGCTTCAGCCAAAATACGCAATCTAAGGAGGCGCATTTTCCACGCCCGAGTCAGCAGCATGCTCTTACGTGGTCTCTGGCTTCAGTACTAGCATTTGAGAAGGGCTATGTATACTTTTTCGCAACAAAGGAATTTCCCGCCGCGCACAATATTTACAAGCACGATGAAACTGTCATGCATCCTTTCTCTGAAAAGACCCGCCTTTTCTTAAATGAATAACTCTAAATCTGTCTTCCAAGCTGGAGAACAATCAAATCTAAATATTATTCAACACTGGTTTGGACAAACGTCACCGTGAATGTCTTTACCAGAGCTACTTTTGATTGGTGTGTGTGCTCTGATAGTATTATTCTTTTTGTCCTTACCTTTTGATCCGTCCGTCCGTCCGTCCATCCGTCCTTCAATCCATCCATCCATCCGTCCCATCCATCCATCATCCATCCATCTATCTATCTATCTATCTATCTATCTATCTATCTATCTATCTATCTATCTATCTATCTACTCTATCTATCTATCTATCTATCTATCTATCTATCTATCTATCTATCTATCTATCTATCTATCTATCTATCTATCTATCTATCTATCTATCTATCTATCTATCTATCTATCTATCTATCTATCTATCTATCTATCTATCTATCTATCTATCTATCTATCTATCTATCTATCTATCTATCTATCTATCTATCTATCTATCTATCTATCTATCTATCTATCTATCTATCTATCTATCTATCTATCTATCTATCTATCTATCTATCTATCTATCTATCTATCTATCTATCTATCTATCTATCTATCTATCTATCTATCTATCTATCTATCTATCTATCTATCTATCTATCTATCTATCTATCTATCTATCTATCTATCTATCTATCTATCTATCTATCATCTATCTATCTATCTATCTATCTATCTATCTATCTATCTATCTATCTATCTATCTATCATCTATCTATCTATCTATCTATCTATCTATCTATCTATCTATCTATCTATCTATCTATCTATGCTTCTATCTATCTATCTATCTATCTATCTATCTATCTATCTATCTATCTATCTATCTATCTATCTATCTATCTATCTATCTATCTATCTATCTATCTATCTATCTATCTATCTATCTGTATCGCCTCTTTCATTATCTTTCAAAGATAATGAAAGAGGCGATATTTTCTGCAACCGATACTGGAGTTTATCTTCTACTGGGAGAGTGTTTGCAGTAATACGAGGGTGACGTTATCTTCTGGAAAGCTCGAGTGGCACTCACTTGTTGTCTATGAAAAGAAAGTTCCCGTCGGCCGCGTGGCTAGAGACGAACTGTGCCGCCTCGGCATCGAGCGTGGTCCTTGTCGTGGTGCTGCTGGTCAGATCTACGTGCACCCTGCCCACAGCCACTGAGCAGCTCAGGTTGCACATGGAAAACAACGTGCAGAGATAACCTCTTGGCGCCCCGAATAAAAGACCCCTGAGGTGCCAACGTAGCGTATATATTCAACAGAAAGAGCTCGCGCACAGAAGGCTCAAAGGAAATTGAAGTACTGAGATCTAGTTACACGTTAACAAACCATCACACGAGAAATGTGACGCAATGCAGACGCCACTCCCGCCCACTACCCGCAAACTGTGCCTCGTTTTTTAGTTGCAGACTTGGAAGGGAAATACGATACCGTTGCTTAGCCATGCACAGTGTAACTTTATTGCAAATTGAATGAAAATGCCACAACAAGCTTAATTTTATTTCTTCGACGCCGCGGGAAGCGTGATGAGCTGGTGCAGTCTGCGATGGTCACGTCATGGTGTCCTCGACCTTGTAATGAACAGATTTGTTTCTCAAAGGTGAACGGGTGGTTCGTTAGGAAATGTTTGTAATTACTTTCAACTTATCTGCCTCGTCACAACGTCTCATCTCAACAAATAATTTTCCTGGACAATTCCACGTCTGTGAAGTTTTCGCGAATACTACCCCATATGAAAAAAAAATGACCTTACCTAGGATTTCCGCGAAATTCCGCAACCAACTCGGCCATTTCTCGACAGGTGGTGACATGCAGAGCGCACGACTGCATTGCAGCAACCGTGTCTTCATCGGAGACATGGTTTCTGTCACCACACGCACTTTTATCGCCATTGAGATGCTCGGTGGCAGCTCGCCCATTCACCAGGATGCTGCCGTTGGATGTGTGCGGACCGGTGGACCGTGGCAGAACTGAGATCTTCAAGAACTCCCGCCATATGTTTTTGACGTCGCGTTCGAAACAAAACTACCGCTGGTTTTTTATAGTTCGACGATCATGAAGGACAAGAACGGTGTCGTGAAGGCGCACACGCGGGTAGTGCGCACCTAGTTCCAACGTAACTGCATCCTGCCGCAACCACTGCGAACGCAAATGCGGTCGTGTCAAACGCGATCATGGGCAACCACGAAAGTGCGTGCGTAGTCAACGCGCGCCGACTCACCCCAATATTTCTTGCCGCAATGATGTGGACAAAGATAGCAACAACGCAGTTCTTATGAGTCATGCGCAAGGCCAGTGCAGCATGCACAGATTGAAAAGGAAATTACTGTTTGCTGCAACCGCTGCGCAGGAAACCGTGGTCGCTGTGATTTTGTTCATCAATAGCAGATACGATTCGAAGGGGCGCATCTAACACAGCCGTAGATTACATGTATCAAAGCCATAAAACGACACGAAGCCGCTTTCCTGTCGTTCGCATATGGCCATGATAGCGCGGAGCGTCGTCTCTTGCAGTTGCAGTTTTCAGTTAGGCTCTGGCGAAGCTTTGGCACGCTCGTTCGCAGCGCTGCGCATTCAGCACGCCCCAAGGGTCGCCTCAATACCGTATCTTCTTCTCTATAACACACTCCTCCATATAACCGGCAACCCGAACCGCAAACCACTGGGAAAAAGGGGGAGGGGGAGTTTTGGGCCATCGCCACACAAAGCTTGAAGAAAGGCATGGAATTCGCCATGACAAACTGTAGAAACGTGTTTTCAAGAATTAGGACTGCAGCAGGCGAATTTGCTAGATCTGCGCCTTTCCGTGCCCAAAAGACAAGCTGCTCGAAGGGAAAACGCATGTGCTGGTTCAATTCATACCACGTGCTGATTGTGACGCTTTCTATGGGTTAGGGGGGGGGGGGGAGCAAAGAACTTCCACAAGGCCCTACAGAAACGTAAACACAACGTCTGCAAGCGGTGGTGGTAGTGATTCTTCAAGAAAGTTCGAGTGACAAGGCTGCACAATCGCTGAGCACAGCTGGGTGAACGACCACCACATCATAATGGAAACGTTCGGCGTCGTAGAGCGCAGTTTAAAAGCTGCTTTTTTTGGGGGGAAATAGGGTGTGCAGAGCCGGTGTCTGTTCTGTGACGAGCGCGGGACGAGGGTAACTGAAGGGGTGCATCTCTATGTTTGAAGTCGAAAGCAGCAACATGCCGGGAAAGGACCTGTACCAACGCTTGCCGTTCTGTTGTACTGAGAGCCTTGCTGATCATACGGAGTATTCGTCTTCATTATGGCCAATATCGCAAGGAGAGGAAGAGGTGGTTAGGTCCGTAACTAGTGCCGCTATAGAGCTGCATGAGGCTTCATCGAAGAGAGCTATCTTCATCCCGCGAGGCAGCACAACCGGCGTGGCAGAACAATTCAGCGCCCACAATGTTGCTACTCCTTTTTTCATGCACACAACAGAACCGGTCACAAGTATGTCCTTCATATTAGAACAGTTCTTGCATAGAGGCCCCTTGTACAAGGTCGACACAAGCAGCATCAACCGCTGTGGAAGAGACTCGAACGTGTGTCAGGCACCAAGATGGTGCTATCACTTCATCAATCACACTAAGTGTGTTCCTGCTTCTCCACCGTAGCCTTCTTCGGGAAACGACGGTAGAAAACAATTGTTTAATGATATTTATTCAATACCACAATAGACGGAAGCACCGCATTGCTCCAGAAAATCGATACCAAGAATGACATCGTGCGAACAACGAGATAGAATCAGAAATTCGGATACAGATACTTTCCCACCCAATGAAACACTGACAACACATACACCAAGAGGATGAAGTCTCCCGCCGCCTACAACACGAAAGGTAATAGTATCGTTCCATGAAAACATGACTTTGTGACCTAAGTGGTTTCTGAAGGCGAGGCTCATCACAGACACAGTCGCGCCAATGTCAGCTAACGCCATCATCAGTATTCCATCTCTCAACACGTTCACTTCGTTTTTGAGCATAATAGGCAGATGCATATCTTGAAAAGACCGTCCAGCGACCTCACCTCCATTGGCCGCGGGTGGTAGTTTCCCGGCGGCGGAGAAGAAGAACGACGCAGAGGAGACGGTGCCAGACGAGAACGGTTGAATGGTGGTGTCAAACTCCGCTCGGATGCTGGCGAATCGCTGCGTCTGGTCTCGCGTGAAAAACGGTCCCTTGGAAACAAGTCGGTCGTCTCCAGGCCATATGAAGCACCGGGTCTTGGTGGCGAAGACATGTCTGGAGATTTTCGTGACGGGCGGTGTTGTTGGCGGCAATACCGAGCGATATGCTCAGTGATACCAGAGTTGTAGCACACGGGAGGGTCGCGGTTAATACTATATTCATCGGAACGAATCCTGTGCCGCTGCTGTCGGCGAGGAAATTCGTTATCATGCGAATAACAGGTTTCTCCCGCTCTCTGGAATCCATTGTATTGGTCGTAAGTGTCATCTTGGTTGTAGGGTTGGTGCTGTCCTTGCCGCAGTGGGGCGTAGTTAGGCTCAGAGTCCTGAGCATAAGAACGCGGCTGTCTTCGTCGTGATCGAGCGTCATAGGCAGGGCCTCTATCGTAGAGACGTGGCTGATACCGAGGCGCGGCATCAGAATCCTCAATGCCCTCCGCCACTCGGTGCGAGGAGAATGAAGTTTTGCTCGAACTCTGTTGGCAGGTAGGGAGGATGAGTGCTTGGGCGGTGTGCCACTTGCGCGAACAGGCCGAGCTCTTCACGTACTATTTTCCGGATCGTTGATGCAAGATCAAGCGGCTGTTTGTTCTTTATACTTGCGATAGTCGTCACATTGGCTAGCCTGCCGAACTTCGGCGTGATGTGTCTGGTCTTCAGTTGCTCAAAAGTGCGGCAATGGCGAATGACATCGGCGACAGATGTGAGGGTGTCTTTCGCGATGAGGAAACTGTAAACATCCTCGGCGATTCATTTTAGGATGTGCCCGACTTTGTCTTCCTCGGACATTCCGGAGTCAATGATTCTACATGGCTTTATAACTTCCTCAATGTAAATCTTGCAAGTTTCGCCTGCACTTGCGCGCGTTGCATTAGCGTATGTTCTGCTCTTCTTTTTTTTTGTTGTGGGGGGTCACCGAAACGCTCTTTGATCTCAGAAACGAATCTGTCCCACGTCGTTAGCGTTTCCTCGCGATTCTCGTACCACACTAACGCAGTATCCGTCAGAGAGAATGCGACGTATGAAAGCTAAGAAGAGGCATCTCATTTATTGGCGGCGCTCACCCGTTTGTAATAGATGAGCCAAGCCTCGATGTCTTCGTCTGGTCTGCCGGCGAAGGGACGAACATCTTTCAGTTGTGGAGCCGGACTGCTTGGCGCTCAAGTCGAGAGGGGTTGATGTTCATCTGCGTTTTGGAACATGTTCAGCCCAGATTGATTCGGTGGAAGTCCAGCAAAGCGACAGCTCCGTCGAAGAACTTGCGGTTCAACCTCCGTCTTCGGGTATCGATTAACCAGCACGTCCACCACAAGTGTTACAGCGAGTTATAATGAAATGGTTTTATTTACAAGAGGTGAGCGATGGTAGTTCGCGGTACGCGCACTACGATCTTGCCAGCCTGATTGATTGATATGTGGGGTTTAACGTCCCAAAACCACCATATGATTATGAGAGACGCCGTAGTGGAGGGCTCCGGAAATTTCAACCACCTGGGGTTCTTTTACGTGCACCCAAATCTGAGCACACGGGCCTACAACATTTCCGCCTCCATCGGAAATGCAGCCGCCGCAGCCGGGATTTGATCCCGCGACCTGCGTGTCAGCGGCCGAGTACCTTAGCCACTAGACCGCCGCGGCGGGGCATATCTTGCCAGCCTCTTCGTCTTCTTTTCTTTCTCTTCTCTGCGTTTCACACGTCTGTTACAACATCACATTTTATGCATGTAGCACCCAGTAGTCCGAAAAGGACCACAGTTTTCTTTTTAACTGCAAGATTTACGAGGCAAAAAATATTGAACATCTTCCACACGGAGGGACCAATTTCTTTACCAGTCGTTCCCGAGATTTTATAATGTAAGACACAAATATTGCCCTTAGAGAGACATGTTGCGTATGAAATATATCCGCAACAAAGAGTGAAGTAACATTGTTTGAAACTTGTAGAGCGAGAAAAACTGGTTTTGAAAAATGTT